GCCAATTTCTCCTGGTCCCGTGTTGATTCATTTAATGACTTCAATCGATAATTTAGCTCTTCGTGAACTGCCGTGGGTTGGGGCCCGTTATACTTGGTCCAATCACTAGCTGGATCTAGTTTGTTGCGTTCTGGATTGGGTGTTCCTTTGTTCTAGGTGGGATTCGCTTTACCCTTGATCTTCCCTTATTGATTATTCTCATATTGGTTCAGATCATACTCCTCTTTTGTTGAACTCTGAGTTTTGTTCAATTCGTCCAAGCTCTAGATTCCATTTTGACTCCTGGTTCTCGGTGGAGGGGTTTTCTCCCCTGATCTCTTCTAAAATTTCTTCTCTGTTGGTGTCGACCTTTCGTTCCTTTGGTCCTTTGGATGATTGGTGTTTCCTCTCTCAACACCTTCCTCAATTTCTGAAAGGCTAGGGAGCTAACAGAGATGCCGAGGCTCATAGGAATAAGAACTCCTTGTCAACCCAGATTAAAGCTTTGGATGCTCTTGCTGATTCTGTTGGTTTGGATAGTGCTAGTGGTCTCATCGGTATTCTCTCAAAATGACCTTAACCGCTATTCATAAAGCTGAAGAAGTTTATTGGCAACAACGTCGGCATCTTTCTTGGATTCTTAAGGGCGATGCGCTTAATAAGTACCTTTTTGCTATTGCTCATGGAAGACGTCGTCGGTGCTTGATTGTCCGGCTTGTTATCGACGACGTGGTGGGTTAATAAGTACCTTTTTGCTATTACTCATGGAAGACGTCGTCGGTGCTCGATTGTCCAGCTTTTTATCAACGACGTGGTGGCTTCTGATGCTAATCTTCTTCTGATGCTAATCTTATTATGTCTCCTTTTTTTTCTTCTCTTCTTTACTTGTTGCTCAACCTTCCTCCCCTCTCTCTATCTCAGCTAACTTTTGGCCTCCTTCTGCCTTGATTTCACCGGAGGAAAATGAAAGCCTACTTATTCCTTTGTCTGATTCTGAAATCGATGAGGTAGTGCCTCATCCAACTCCAATTCTGCCCCAGTTCATGATGGTTTTTCGATTCCCTTTTTAAAAAAATTGACATGTTCTTAAACATTTGGTCTATGCCATTATTCAGGGCTTTTGCTTAGGCACGGTTGACATTTCTCATCCCAACTATGCTATTCTTTCTCTTATTCCGAAAGCAAAGGGTGATGACACCATCTGCCAGTTTAGACCCACTGCTCTCATCAATAATTTGGCTCAATTCCCCTCTAAAGGTCTTTTCTCACATCTTTCTCCTGTAGCCCATCGAGTGATCTCCCCGACGCAATCTGCTTTCATTAAGGGCTGTTTCATTTTGGATTGTATTGTCAGCTTACATGAGGTTGACCATGACTTACATTCGAAGAACACTATTATTCTCAAGATTGACATTGAGAAGGCTTATGACTGTGTCCTTTGGTCTTTTTTGAGGGATGTTTTGTTGTCGAGAGATTTTGACGGAGCCTATGTTCACCGTATAATGGAGTTGGTCTCTGGGGGTCACACTGCCGTTTCTGTCAATGGCATCGTTAGTCCTTTTTTTGCCAATGGTAGGGACCTACGACAAGGGGACCCTATTTCTCCACTTCTATTCAATTTTGTGGATGACGCCGTATCCTGTATTCTTGGTCATGCTTCGTCCGTTGGCCACATCTCCCCTGTTATCTCTAATCTTATTCCCTCAGGTGTCTCTCATCTCCAGTACGCTGACGATACGATTGTGCTTGTCGAAAACTCTGATCTTTGTATAGCAAACCTGAAATTCCTTCTATGTTTTGAAGCACTTTCTGGTCTGAAAATTAATCTCACGAAAAGTGAAGCTTTGGTTCTTGGTTGTTCCGAGGAGGAGGCGAAGAGGGTTTCTAACCTCCTCAACTGCAAGCTTGGCACCTTCCCTTTTAATTATGTTGGGATCCCCATCTCGTCCTCGAAGCTTTTCATATAAGATTTTGCGCCCATGGTGCTCAAAGTGGGCAATAGGGTTATGCCTTGGCGTGGTTGGTACAATAATAATGCTGGGAAAATAATCCTTACTAATTCTTGCATCTCTTCCCTGCCAATGTTTCTCATAGATTTCTATTGGTTGCCGGAGGGTACGCATGCTGGTTTTGATAAGCATCGGAGTGGTTTCTATTGGAACGTGGTTGATAACAAGAAAAAATACAGATTGGTTAAGTGGAAGATCATTTGTAGACCTAAAAGCCATGGTGGCTTGGGTATTATCAATACCTCCATTACGAATAAGTGTTTGATCATCAAGTGGTGGTGGCGTATTCTGAAAGCTTCTCCTGGTACTCTTTGGCTTGACATTCTTAAGGCTAAATATTTTCCCCTATCTAGTCCTCCGTTTGCTTCTGCTTCAAATGGCTCCCAATTCTGGTGTGACTTGATTAAGGTGCGCGATGACTTCCGAGCTCATGTAAAATTTGTGGTCAGCGATGGCAAATCCATGCGTTTTTGGTTGGACTGGTGGTTTGGGGACGGCCCTTTATGCTCTCTCTTCCCAATTCTATTCTCGTTTTGTGGTAATCCTGCCATCTCTATTTTTGACCTTGCTAACAATAATTGGGATCTAGGTTTTCGCCGTTCCCTATCTCCTGAAGAGTTAGAAGATTGGCACCGCCGAAGAGTTAGAAGATTGGCACCGCCTTGCTGCCATCTTCCCAGCGCTTTCGGAGACCTCGGATTAGGTGACCTGGCCTCATACCTCCGGCAATTTCTCGGTTAAGTCGTTATATCTCCGTCTGGTCCCTGGTTCCTCTTCTTCCAAGTTTAAGCTCGTATTCCGTTGAAGATCAAAGTCTTTCTTTGTTAGGCAATTAGGTGCAAGTTGCCTGTTGTCGATCAGATTCGTAAACAGAATGGCAGGGCTTTGGCTCTTTGTTCCCTTTGTTCTCGACCTGAGAACACCGACCAAATTTTGTTTAATTGTGACTTTGCGGCATTAATCTGGAGTTGCACCCGGTCGTGGCTGGGTGTCAGTTGGGCTCCTACTTCTTTTGAGCAGCTTTTGCTGCTAGTCAATTCTTTGTCTGGTCAGATTAAGCGTTTGTTTTGGTTTGGTTTTGCTGCTGTTAGCTGGGGTCTATGAACAACTAGGAACAAATTTACTATCGAGCATGTTTTTCCTTCTAAACCTGCTGATACTATCTTCAAATCTCTGAATCTGATGCAGCAGTGGAAGCCGCTGGTTAAATCTTGTGACATCGACGCTACAGAGCTGCTGATCTCTTGGGTTCGAGCTACTGCGATTTCCTTATCTCCAAGAGTGCAGGCTCTGGCGACGTAGTTGGTGTAGCGCCTGTGATCTTCTATCTGGCTTCTATAGGCTGTAGGTTGTTGGTCTGCGTGCCGATTATGTGCTTGTTTTGGTTGCTGTGCAACCCGTACTTTATTTGCTGGTGCGACTGCGGTAACTTATGCTGTTGTGAACTGCTTGGTTGGCTTTATCTATAAAGTCGAGCTATCTCTTTTTCTCTAAAAAACATGGGGCAAGGAAGGACAGCTGTCACCTCACCTGACTGACCAAGGTTGCAATCACCTATTAAGGTGTCAAGACATGACATGTACTCCCTCCGTTCCGAATTACTTGTCGCACGTATGGATGTATCTAGATGCATTTTAGTTCTAGATACATCCATTTCAGCGACGAGTAATTTGGAACGGAGGGAGTACTAATTTAAAACTGACACATTATATGTAAGCACCATGCACTCAAGAATCTTGTTTTATTTTAACTAATTATTAAGAAGCTCCAGTTGTGTGTTGAAGGTTTTGAGGACCTTATATTCAAACAATTGCATCCAAATTGATGCCTCTTAGAGCTAACAGGTACCAACTAGGCAACTATTGTCGAACAGTCTATGCTGCTCTCCAAAGAAAATTCTTGCATGTTAAGATATACAAGATTGCTGGGAGTTGGGTGCGAGCTTAAATAAACTATATAGTTAGCTAGTTTTAAGTTTTTAAGATGTAGCGTTGCATGTTATATACTAGGTAGTATTTGACAAAGACTTATGTCATGTTTCATGCCACCCATTTGAAATGCCCGAAGACAATAATGGAAGGCTACCACCAAGAGTTCATTCCCTTCAAATAACCCAGAACTTCAGGATGTACCTAATAATGTATTCACGAGAGGCAACACCAAAAGTTGCAGAAGGAGGCAAAAGTCCAATATGCGAGTTTAAGCTGAAAAGAATTAATGTTATCTCCTCAGTTCATTCCTCAATAAGAAGGCATTGACACATTAGGATACAAACATACAAGGTTTATGTGTTGCTGTTTTGTTTAGATTGAACATGATCTATGCAAAGCGTATAAAGAACTTGGTTGTGTACACATACAAGAATAGTAGCATCAAATTCTTATTGCAGGCTTGCAGCAACCCATTAAAAAAACTGTGCATGCTATAATGAAACATGCAATGATGAAAATTGTACACCAAATTATAGGGACAAATACACTGGATTTTGAAAAGGAAATTCCTTGGAAGAGGTACAACACCTACAGGCTCTCTCATGTGGATAAGTTCAGGTTTGTACGTGTCCATGGATAGGATCAGATCAGAAATCAATAGATGAACAGCCATCAACAAAACAAAGCACACTACAAAGTTCCCACAATTGGTCGCAACAAACTAGAAAGACTTCATGGGACAGACAGTCAAGTTTGCATATTATCCTAACAAGAAACTAAGCTTTGCGGATACAAAATCAAATCAAAACATGACTGTGGATAAGTAGTAAATATGGACTAGCACAATTTACCAGAATAAGCAAACATGGATACTTACAGTGGTGAACAAGGCGTACGCCCCCCATTGACATAATACACAAACAAGTATGAGTCATAATGCTGCCCTCTTATGTAGTAGAACATCGGAAGTCTTCTGACTAGCTTAAATAGCATCTTCTTGTAAAAGTTAATTGCAGGCTGGTTATATGAGATGACATGTAAATAAACACCCCTGCAATTTGATACACTTGCAGCATGTTTAATCACCTCTCGAACAAGCGAAGAAGCTGCAAGTGAGAATTCGTGTGAGGATCAACTGAATCACCATTAACAAACTGTGAAGCTAAGATGAGGAAACAGGGAAACAACCTATGCCGAGGTTTCTGTAGCTATCCACTACACCAAGCGTCAGGATATAAAGAAGTGTTAGATCTTTGTGCGAGTTGTTATATCTAAATAAATCCTCGATCTGCAAATTCAGACAATTAGCTCCACTGAGCTCACTATTAAGACCAAGGATTTTTCAGGAGATCCTACGTATTGTTTGTACCTCGCTATCTTTTGCTGCAATCATCCTCGTGGTCACAAAGCCTATCAGCTCATCCCTGCCTTCATCCGATCTGCTAGTGTCCACAGCACCCCACGAAATGACACCATTACCATTGACAACGTTCAAGAAGAACTCTCTCTCGTACCTAGAGCAAAAAGCGAATTGTGTTAAATGGACCAATAGTGGGGAAATCGTCGATAGGCCGCAACAAATTCTATTAGTATACCTGCAAGTGATGTAATAACAGTGCAAGCAAGAACATCGTAGAAGCATCCACTTGTGCAGTTACCTTATAGGAAACAGCGAGAGATGAATCTTCTCAAGAACCTCGAGGTCGGAGGGCTGGATGGGGCGATACTCTATGGTGGGGTAGATTTCGGATCTTGGGTCCAACATGAGAAGCTCCGATGACGACGAGTATCCACCAGGTTATTTGCCAGGAGGGCGGGTGGTGCAGGGGGGAAAGGCTCCCTGGGGTCGAGGAGTGCCGCCGCGTCGGCGCGCGTCGAGCTTGCCACGGCGAATCGCAGCGGGTTCGATGGCCGCGGCGCGAGGAAAGAGGGGAAGGACGCGGCGCGGCGCTAGAGGTCGATCGCGAGGAAAGG